CACAGAGAGAATCATCACACAGTTTGAGCTGAAATATGTTCAAACTACACTGGAAATAAAAGAAGCAGATGTGGAAACATTTACAGCAGAAGTTTGGCTTTAAAATGATTAGAAGTCTAAATCATGGACGACTGAAGAAATGAGTGGACACAAGCACAGAGCAGCTACTCATTCATGTAGATTTGAAATGTTATTGAACAGCTCACATGATTTCAAACTAAATCTGAAACATCTGACACGATAAAAACATCAGAAAGCAAACTTTAACTCATCCAAACAGCAGCTGATGTGGTGGAAATTTACAAACTAATCATAAGATGATGAAGTTTACTCTTGTCTACATATATTTTACTGTGACAGAAATGTAGATTCAACAAGAGAAACTCGCAGAGCTCATCTGAATTAGTCCAGTAAAAAGGACAAACATCAAAAACTCAATTATTTTAAATAAAAAAAATTACTTTTGTCTCATCTAAGCAGTGTCAGATGTTTCAGATTTAGTTTGAAATCATGTGAGCTGTTCAATAACATTTCAAATCTACATGAATGAGTAGCTGCTCTGTGCTTGTGTCCACTCATTTCTTCAGTCGTCCATGATTTAGACTTCTAATCATTTTAAAGCCAAACTTCTGCTGTAAATGTTTCCACATCTGCTTCTTTTATTTCCAGTGTAGTGAACATATTTCAGGTCAAACTGTGTGATGATTCTCTCTGTGCTGATATGCATGAGAGGTTTCTGAAAGTGGAAGTGAAGACAATGTGTGAGTGAATGACTGGTGGACATTTCTTTTAAAGGGACTTACATGGCGCGGATCAATACCAGATCATCGGAATTGTGCGGCTGATCCGAGTTCGCAAAAAGTCCACCTCAAGTGGATATCTCAAAGAGCGTCAAGTCTAGGGAAACAAAAACAGGCGCCTCGACTACAACATAAAATCCTCTATCATAAGCTTGAGAGGAGAAAAAATCGGACATCGTGTCTTGACTTGTCCTATGTACCTCTAAGCCTTGAGAGGACTTTTGAAGGTGTTTTCCGGTTAGATACCCAAGCCCCCCGCTCAACTAGAGAACGTGTTCGTGTAGAGGTTCCCCCACAATCAAGGAGTTGACAGGCACAAGCATTTTTGGGAAGGCCACAGTTTCCAAATTGTTGTGTTAGCCAAACAAGGGCTTCCCTCAGACCTGGGTAAGTTCTAGTCTGGTGGAAGATAAAAAGAGTAAGAAACTGAAGCTCCCGACCGCTCAAGTCCACTCTGATGTAGTGGCATATATCATTTATGCGTTTAATATTCATAGCTAGCTTCATTCAAGAGCATGGGAGTGTAGAAGCTAGTGACTTCTCTTCGGTAACAAGGAGCTGGAGCAGGGGAAGGCCACGCTCATGTGTGTGGCCAACAAGGGCTTCCCCTCAGACTGGAGTCTGTCCTGGAAGACGAGCGACAGCAGTGGCAGCAGCAGCATCAGAGGGGAGGAGAGCAGGACTCCTGGAGTGCTGCAGAATGACGGCCTCTACAGCTGGAGCAGCACCCTGACGCTCACTGCAGACCAGTGGGGGAAGGTGGGCTCTGTGACCTGTGAGGCCACCCAGGGCTCCCAGTCTCTGGTCTCAGAGATACTGAGGAGAGACCAGTGTTCCCAGTCCTGATGTCAATCACTGAGTCTTTCATGCTGTTTTTCCTCTTTCTCTCTGTTTCTTTTTGTTTGCAGATTTTTAAAAAAGCATCAAACAGTCATGTTTCCATCTCATAATGACAACAATCAGAGCAACAATCTCCTCTAGTTTCATCCTTTTGTGTCTGTTGTAAAGCTGATATTTCAAACTCTTAAAAGAATAAAAACGTACCGAGAAAACATGTTCTTTGACTCTGTGAGTTTAATAAATGCACATTAAAAAATTAAGATGTTGTAAATATTAGAGTAACCAAAAAAAATGTCAGGTGTAATGTGCAGTTTAAATAGCTTAATATATTTTTAAAATATCAGAAACAACCATGCTCACATATAACAATAGGATATTAACGAGTTTTTGGTGTTATCACTAACTACTTATGCTCTCACTATTAACAAATGACCAAGAATGAAAATAGTCCCATATTACAGACGAGCCATTCAAGAGGAGTTAAATCGTGCTATAGTGAACAAGAATGGTGATCTAACACTACTTGGCTTCTTTAATCCAAAATATAGTTAAACTATTCTCTATAACATAGATGTTATGAGGAGGGTCATAGGTCACAACCATAATTACTGGTATCTACTATATGTGGAATAGTCAAGTGATTCTGCTCTTCATTTAATTTTTCTTTAGTCTGCAATGCGTGAGTTTAATCGATCGTAACATTCTTTACCCCCAGCCACCCTGGAATATTATCACATGAGTGCCTAAAACCTTAACTAAGGTAACATTAAATGAAGCCAAGCCAGTGTTTGTCAGTGCGGTATGTTCTAAATACTCAGAGAGATAGCTCCTATAGATTTAAAATCTTTTTTAATGGTGAAGATTTACTGAAGTTTGATTAATAATAAGTATTTGAGCGAGTGAAACTCCCTAGGCCGCACAGGCAGGGTGAGCCGTGGACTATCGAAGAGAGCAAACTCATATAGGCCAGAAGACGTAGTCTATGAAGAACTCCGGTTGTAAACGGATGTGCTATGCGTGTGTGAAGCAAGAAGCATCAAACGAATACTCGTGGGCCGATTCGATTGGCCATATGTGGGCCGATGCAGAGAGCACTGTAGAATTCGTGTTCAGGATCTCTTATTTGTCAGGATGAGTGGGTTAGAGGAAGATCAAGGATATGATTCCATTACACGCACCAGCGATAAACAGAATGTGGGCTGGTTTTAACTCACAGAAGCCAGCGAGGCGACAACAACTGACTCAAATAATTGACGACAGAATATGAGGCTTGATATAGTAGCGTTGTCGGACACGTGTACACAGGCTTCACACGAACGCTTGGACACTAACAGAAATGCGAAACACAGGACAATGCAGCAGCATATGATGAGACCTTAACAGGTCTGCTTATCAGCTTATATAGAATTAATCTCTTTCTAGTGATATCACTCAGCATAAATGAGAGAAACATCCACTCTCACTTAATCTTCACTTTAACACAAATAAATAAGGACTCATCGCAGAGTCTGTTCAGGAGTGAGGAAAATTGGATCACTATCCCTTATTTTCAAGTATGGTTTCGAGATTTTAGGGTGGAGGAGCTTGTACAATTTAAACTGTCACACTTTTTTAAGCACCATTTATAAGAGTTATTTATTGTTAAAGAGAAACACCATTTTTACGTTATCCTTTTCAGTTGTCTGTTGGGAATCGGATCATACAGACTGGGAGTTACATCCTCTTTTAGATAGAAGCAAAAATCGATCTATCCAAAAACTATTTAAAGGTTTTTTACAACGGATTAACAGGTGAATCGTGATTTAGCTGCTGAAATATCCAAGATGAGCGCTTTAAGACTCTTCAATCTTGAAGGTGCACCTGATTCCGTTCTGTCTACATTAATACTTTGGAAACTGACTAAATAACTTTAGGTTTTTACAACAGTAACAGTGATTCGTTTGTGCTGGAAATATCCAAATGAGGCTAAATCTTCACTGAACACATCCCCTACAAACACTGTTATAACAGCCTGCTTGATTTGTTAATCAGCAGAATATCAGAATATTATAGACACTAGTTGTGATGTGACTACAATGATTTTCTGGATTTGTGTGATGAAGGACTGCAGCTGAGCTCCACAGAAGGATCAGTTTAATATTTAACAGCTTACAAATAGAAAAGAGCTGCTCATCAGTGCAGAAACACTGACAACAGCATTTGTATTTTTAATAACAGCTTGTTATATTTTACCTTTCAGTTATGTCTTTTTATCTGAACTCTAAAGTCTATTTTCTCTTTCTGTAGTAGGTCGAGCCTCTCTCTCTGGACAGACTGTCTATTGTTATAAATGTAGAAACTAAGAATGAGTCAGACTGGTGGACTACAGAGAACATCAGTCATCTAAAAATAATGTTAATGTGTTAAAAATCTGGAGCCAGTGTTGTGTCTGTATTCTGTGACTCATATTTTTATTTGGGTACACCACTTCATTTTTTTTGTTTTGTGTGTTTTATGTTACTAACAATTTATCTAATAAATCCTTTTAAATTTAAACTTGAACTGTGATTGTTGTTAAATTCTCCCAATTCTGTCATCTTTGGGCTGAAGGAAGGACAACACTCGGTGTATAAATGCTCAACAATCATTTTATACAATTCTCATTATTCCATGCAAACACTTTTGAGCATAAACCATCCGGAGGGGAGATGAGCGCGGGAAGGTGTCTGCCTGATCTCGACGTGTCTGACCGTTTGTCACATTCTTATAGCTTCAGCCCCCTCCAAACTAAGCATTCACATTCTTTCTCTCTTACGGCGCCTAAGTGACGGCCTTGGCTTCCTGTTTTATCTCCTCCTGATGAGATGGGGCAGAAAACCTCTCCAGTATCTTCTGTTCTCTTCTAATCAGACAAATAAGGCCATGATTCTCTGAAAACAGTATTTCTTATATTCAGCAGTATAATGCATCATAAAACAATATAATTCATTCACAATAAATCAGCAGTCTAATAAATGTAATAGTTATCACCTTCTTCTAAGGAGAATAATGCAAACTAAAACTACATAATAGTTTCACAACCTTTAATTAGGGGTATAATGTGGCATAAGATAATATAATAATCTCACAGTGCACACAAATGAAATTTCACAGTAAATATTAAAGTAATCGTTCCTCCCAGTCTTTTAGTTTGTTCTGCAGCTGTTGCTTCAGATCACTTCCTCTTCAGCTGAGAGGTTTTTGTACGACAATTTTTCACTGTGTGAACGGGCGGCTGTAACCACTTTGTCCACAGTAATAAACTCCTGCATCTTCAGCCTGAACTCCACTGATGGTCAAAGTGAAATCAGTCCCAGATCCACTTCCACTGAAATGATCAGAAACTCCAGAATGACGGTTTGTAGCATAATAAACAAGCAGTTTAGGAGCTTCTGAGGGTTTCTGAAGATACCAGTGGAGGTAGCTACCCATACTTGAACTGGCTTTACATCTGATAGAGACAGTCTGTCCTGGAACAACAGACTGAACTTCTGGAGTCTGAGTCAGGATGACATCTCCAGATGAACCTGAAACATAAAAAGAGGAGAAAAGTTATTGAGACAAATCGAGCTCTGTGAAAGATGACCAACATCCAAACATTAGAGGATCATTTCTCTAACACGGAGAACAGATGGAAGAAGGTCAGTGCTGCTGGTTTCAGAGTTTCTCCATCATAGCAGAACATCAGTGATGCTTTTCCCCAATCAAATTAGCCTTTCTCGTTGTTTTATACACACATACACACTGCTGTTGTTTCTACACTAATAAAGGGATTTGTTACTTCATTGATACACAACTCACAGCTCACAACTGTCGTGATCCGGCTGTGTCCAGGCAGGAATTGGACCCAAACGCAAACTCACTGGAAACAGGACTGAACTCAAAATGGCAGCTTTTATTGCTGAACAGAAAACTCCACAAAACCTAAACTGGGAAGAATCTAACAAAACACACACAGCATGAGGAAGATCACGGCACTGTAGTAATCAATCAATCGATCAATCAATCGATCGATCAATCTTTATTTATAAAGCACTTTTTGTACAGAAATGCAGCACAAAGTGCTTTACATGGTTAAAA